ACTCCCCTTCCCTGCGCAGCCCAGCGGACCCCACCTCCTGCTCAGACCTCTGTCCTCCCGAGCCCTGGCTCACCCTTCTCTGCCACTCTGCCCTGGCTTCTGGCTCGAGGCCACCCTATGCTGCCACAACTCTTCCTCTCTGCACCCCTCTCCTTGCCCAAACCACCCTCACCACTTTTCACTCTCGTGTGCACTACACACTTTCTACATCTTGTGTGTTAATTCCTGCACTGTAACATAAGCTCCACGGAAGCGGAGATCTCATCTGTCTGTCGCTGCATCACACTGAGCACTGAGAGTGTCCGCTGCTGCAGAGACGCCACAAGGCACGAGCATCTTCTGGGTGTTGCACCCACCAGTCACTCTGCCAGCACCTCTGGGGCGGCTCCCGTTTCCCTGCAGGGACCCACGTCTGGCCCACGCCGTCCTCATGGTGCACGGGGCAGCAGGGGTGTGGAATGATCCAGGACGGCCGAGTACTGGCTTTCACCCCTCTGAGCAGCTCACGGAGGACCAGGCATTCCAGAGAACATCAAGCTCAGACTCACTTTGGGGACACTCCTTGGCACCCGAGGAGACGACCCCTGCCCCTGCACAGGCCTGGCGATGCCAGAGAGCCATGTGGTGAGCCAGCCCAAGGACAGAGCCGACTTGGAGGAAAGCAGATGGGGAGATTCAAAGACAGATCACATCCAAAGGTGACCCTCCCGGATCCGCCGCACTTGAAACTCAAACTATACTTGAACTTTCCACATGTTCGAGTGAAGTCCCTTTCATTTTTTTGTTCGCTCAATCCTGCTTCAGTTTCGAGAAGTCACTTGTCATGGAGAAATATCTAGGCTGGCAGAGAGGGCTGGAACTCACGGTTTCACATCTACTCTGCCACCCACGATGCACAGCTCTTCCCCAGGGCCGGTGCCACAGCAGCGGAACAGTCGCGGCAGACTCGGGGGCGGGGGGTGGGGAGAGCACACAAACCCAAGTTCATGGTCCTGGCAGCGCTGCCCAGGCCTGACCAGCTCACCCCACCCATGCTGGCTGGGCGGGGACTGTGGTGACCCCACTGTTCGGGGCTACGAGATGCACATGGCAAACTCACCCTTAAACCTAGCAGTGCAGGGGGCGGCGCTGGAGGAGGCGGCTTCGGCCATCCGAGTGAGTGCAAATGACCGCACACAACACGCCTCGTGTCCAGTACACCCGGAGAAGAGCGGGAAGACACACCGTCACCTTCTATTTATAATGAGCAAGTGGAGGCACGGAGTGTAACTTTCCCAAGGCCACACAGTCAGTGGCAGAAGAAGGATTTGAGTCCAGCCAGGAGCTGCTCAGCACTCACCCATATCCTCCCTGAAGTATTTATTCACACTGGAAGACGGCAGAATTCCTTTTGAATTCATGGTGAATTCATGGTGAAACATTTTTCTCCATGGTTCATCCAGTTTCGGGGGGAACAAGTGAATTCTGACCATCTACAGGAGCCCCCCAAAGACACCTTATTTGCCCCTGGCAAGGGCCCTCAGGAGAATGAGCAGCAGAGCAGCGCCTGGCATTCTGGGGCCTGGAGTCTGGCTGTACCCGTGCCCTCGGGCACAAGTCCACTGCCACCTGGAGCCCACACATGCGTGCGTCCTGTGCAGAGCAGCTGGCCCAGGGCGTGAGCTCAGTCACCAGCCGGCCGATGAGGCACCTCGGGAGCTCCGGTAGGTAACTCTGGAGCTGGAGGGAGCGAGCCTGGTGACAGTGTCTCCAGAATCTGGGGGTTGCAGAGAGACCTGTGCTGCAGGCCGGGACCATGCATGTCTCCTGGGGCTCAGCCGCCCAGCCCCAGGTTGGTCTGGGTCAAATTAAAGCAGCAAACCTGGCCGAGTCCCCAGTGTCCTGGTCTCCCTGACCAAAGGTTGTAGTGAAACAGGACCTCACCTTCTAGGCTTCTCCTTTCTTGTTGCCCAGGTTGGAAAAACAGCAGCCATGGTCCACTGGTCTCCCAGGCTGATCCAAACTCAAGGATTTCCCTGAATGCTGCACAACTCTACCATCCGCTTGGGCCACTCACTGACTAAGATGCCGCAGGAAAAGTTCCCCTGGGCATGCAACACTTCCAAGCAAGTCCAGGGGGTCAAATGCACACCAGTAGAGGAGAAGGACCGTTCCTGCCACGGCCCCGCCCCCAGCCCTGCAGGGGAGAGGCAGGACCGGCCCTCTCCCAGTGCACCCTGCGCCAGGCCTCCGGCTCAGACCTAACTAGGATGGACGGCTGCCCTCCACGCTGGGGCTGGAGGAGGCCTGGACTGTCTCAGCAGAGACGCTGCAGCCTGGAGGACTGGCAGAGCTGCCGCACGGATGAGCAGAAAATAGCAGATGATGAATTTTTTAGGACCACCCTCTGCTTGCCAATTGTGGCAGACTGTGAGATAATGCGCTGGGCTTTTTTGGAACATGAATTATTGATCTGGGTCTGTCTAGTGGTTTATAAAAAGCCCATCAGCCCCCTGCTACCCCTGCCCACCCCTCACCTCCTGAGGAAGCTCAGCCTGCTTCAAAAGCCAGGTCTGCTGAGCGGGGAGGGCCTGGTTCTGTTCTGGAGAGGAGGACGGGCAGGCACCGGTCTGTGCCATGGAGCTCACATGCCACAAAACACAAGGGCTCTAATTCCACATTGCTTCCTGGAATTTATCTTTGCGAAACAGTCACTCATGGGTGCAAAGACATGGAGAAAAGATAGTCCCAACAACAGAATTTGTAACAGTGGAAAATGAACAAATATGCCAGTGACTGGAAATAGCTCAATGCCCATCCCAGGAACTGGTTAAGAGTAAAGGTAGTTAAGACTATGGGTTCTGGATTCAAATCCTGTTTAACCACATACTGCAACCTTAGACAAGTGGCTTAACTTCTCCATGCCTTGGTTCCTTTACTGATAAAGCCCAGAGAACGAGCCGCTGTATTGTAAGTCAGCCATGGTTTCCCTTTCTTGTCTTTTTCTCCGTCCTTATCACACCTACAGCGCCTTCCCTTCTCTTCGCTTATTCTGTTGGTTTTATGAAGAGTCCCACAAGTAAACTGCAGGCAGATTCTGCCGTGGGGTGCGGGCACTTACTCACCATCTGAGGACGCGGGCCCCAGATCCAGGGGCTGCCCTGACTCTTCTCTTTGCTCTACCTCCAATCCATCCGCCTGTAAACTTAACACACACAGCTGCCAGGGCCTCAGGTGTCCCCCTGGCTCGCTGCTCCACCTGCTCTGAGCTTCCACAGGCAGCCCAGTTACCGTTCTGGCCTCCTGTGGGCTCCGCGGCCTCTGCTCTGCCTCCCGGCCACTCCGTCTCAGTGTAAGGGCAGGAGGGACCCGCAGGGACCAAGGTACAGCTGCAGTGCTCCTCTGTCCAAGACCCTGCTCTGTCCATTTCCTCACTCTGGGCCCCGGGCTCTGCTCCGCCAGGCCAGTTGGCTCCCGGCCCCCCTTGCCATGCACGGCCCGTACCCCAGAGGGTGGTTCCTGTGCACCCCCAGCACCCCACACGCTGGGTTATACAGAGCTGCCTAATGGCTGGATGGTCATCCGGGGCATCTTGGATTCCCCAGCATCACAACAAAACAGCTTAAGGGGCCTCGCAAGGTGAGATCAAGGGGCTCTGAGGTCCAGCAGCTGCATACAAATACTGTCTGAGAAATTCTGCCAGAAACAAAACTCACGTGCTCACGGCCACAGTCTGCAGACTCCCCATGGTTATCAAATGCACCTCATTCTGACGGCTGCCGGGAGACAGGGATCATATGTGTCAAATTGTCGATAAAGGCTCAGGGCTCTGGTTGCTTCCTGGCTGCAAATTCCTTTCACGCTGATAAGCTACCCGAGAAAAAGCTATACTTGTGATCATTAATACAAATCATTGCAAGGAGTGACTGGGTTTTATATAAAGAACCTTTCACTGGGTAGCTAAAAAGACAGAATCAAGTTGCCATCAATAATATTCTATCGTCCTATGAGAGAGGACAGAAGCAAAGGGCCCAGCCCTCACCTGATCAATGATCTGTGGTCCTTACCACGGCTCCCCAGCACCGCTGAGCTCTCCACACCCCTATCCAGTCTTGCGTTTTACTTCACTTCCCCAGGCTCCAGCCACGTTGGGCTTCTTGGTCCCGTCTCAGGACCTTGCACACGTTGCTCTTTCTGCTTAGAACACTTTTCTCTGGATTTTCATACCACAGGGTAGTACTGATGGTAAGAAGGGAAGCCTAATTTATAGGAGTAGGAAAATGCAGATGGCAGGGCTAGTCTGTATTGTTCAGGGAATAATGACAATGAAAAAGGTCCGTATATGTTTAGTATAGTTGAAAAATTTCCCCTCTGGGTTGGGGATTTAACTTAGTGGTTTTGCCGCCTGCCTTGCAAGTTCGATCCCCAGTATAAAACAAAAACAAACACACAACAGACAAACAAAAATTTCCCCTCTATTTTCAATGCACAGTTTGGGTGTGGACCTGGTGCACACAGAGGCCCGGAGTATTTCTGTAGGATAGCAGTAATGTAGGGTCTCAGTGGAGAAAGGGGACCCATAGAATCAGAAAATTAAGGAGTGAGAAGACATGATCAAGAGAAAGACAGTTTCAACTGGGACATGAGCGAGTGAGGACACGGGGGTCTGACCCTGGGGGCAGCAGGTCTGGCTGGGAGACCCCAATCCCGTGGGCTCCATTTCTGGGGTCCCCTCCCAGTGCTGCCAAGGAGGGGAGGCCTCAGAGGATGGTTTAGACAGTGGCCCAGGAAGGAGAGATCCACAGAGCCTCTCTTCTCTTTGAGACTTTGGGGAAATTCAGGAACGGTTCTGCATCAGTTGACTAGAGACCCCTTCGCCTTGAGGATCAGCTCCAAACCCCCTTGTGTGTGTACCTCAAGTGGGAGCTGGATTAAAAGCACCCAGAAGCAAGCTCTCGGGTCTCCACGGCTGCCCTGCCTCAGGCAGAGCCCGGAGATGCCCTGTGGGTCAGGACACTTACCCAGCTCCACGTCCTGGTCGTCGGTCAGCACCAGGATGATGTTGGGCCGGATGTTCCTGCGGTCCCTCTGGAAGCGGCCCTTGAGGCGGTGGTGGGACAGGAATGCCGAGCCCCCGCCCAGCAGGGAGAAGACCATCGCGGACAGCAGGCAGAGCAGCAGGCTAGGGGGGGCCATCCTAGCTTTCGGCTGATCCAGCGGTCCTCCCGGGGTGTGGAGTTTGACGCTGTGCCTCAGGGATCCGATCCGTCCCCTTCTCCTGGCTCGTGACCTAGAGAAGGCAAAGACGGGTCACGGTGGACGTCCTGCTCAGGGCTCCGCAGGCAGACACAGGACGGGCACGGGTGTAGGGCAGACTGGCAGGGAAGCCTCTGGGCCCCTCTGAACTCTCCCCGGGGACAGCTTAATGTGTGGGTGGCAGCTCAGACCCAAGTCAGTGGCCAGCCCAGCTCTGAATGCTACCCCGCTCCACTCAACAGACCGATCCCACAGCCGAGGAGAAGGGGTGGCTGGTCCAAGGAGACAGGGACATTCTTGCCAGCTTGCTTCTGTGTGGCCTGGGGCAGTGGATGGTCACTGAGGTGTGGATCCCAGGCCGGAAGGGCCACCTGGCCTTGGTCTCCCTGACAAGCCAGGTAGGAGTCTTAGTTTCCCCATGGATAAAAGAGGGGGCAACGGCCATTGTAAGAACTCAGTCCACACGAAGGCATATCAAAGCCACTTGGCAACAGATCTCAGAGCTGGACAAATAGCGTTCTATCAGTTTTAAGTTGCAGAAGAAATAAAATGACTGAGAGAAAATGGAGGGCTGAAAGAGCAAGGGAGAACTGTCACACTCTTCTGTGACCTCGGTCATCCCCTTGTCCCTAGGTCAGACTGGGCCTCAAGTCTAGGTGGGGCAGGGGAGGCAGACAGCAGGTGTTGGCCCAGCCGGTCTCTGTGTCACCCTGCACTCTGTGGTCTGCTAAGGAGTCAGGATGTCAGGGTGGGTCACTGTAGCCTGAAGGCATCTGGGCCACAAAGCCTGGGCTCTGGGTCCTGCAGGGGGTTGTGCTGCCTCGTCCTCTGTCTTGGGGACACAACAGCTGCTGAGGTTCTCCCCACCACCCCACCCCACTCTCCACCTGGGGGGGAGAACGACAGCTAGAGAGACCCCCTCGCTGATGAGGGTCGATCACTGAGCAGGAGACAGCTGCTCCCTCCCCAGCATGCAGTAGCTCCACAGCAGCCCTGCCTCCCTGCCTATGGCCAGAGCTGCTGTCGGCCTCCTGGCTCCAGCTCACCCCGGCCAGGAGCCTCTGCCTCTCCTGCCCCAGGCCCAGGTCATAATGGCTCCTCTCTGCTGGTGGCTCCTGGGTGCTGCCTCTTCCTTTGTCTCTGGAGGACCTGGTCTGCCTCACTCAGGGTCCTGGCCCAGGCCCAGGTGCAGTGTGAGGCTGCCCAGGATGGCCTCCTCCTACGTCCCTCCCACAACAGCACCTCTCCGCACCTGGGACCTGCGACAGGGCGACTGAGAGCCACAGCCCAGGGCAGTGTGTCCACCAAAGGGATAAGCCCCACCCCCGCGGGTATGGAGGGGACACGTGGTTCCCTTTTCAGTCTCTGCTGGCCACCACCTGCGCTGCTAATGCTGCTGCTGGAGGGGCTACCTGCTTGGTACCACAGATGTTCTCTGGAATCCCTTCCAGAGTGACTTCGGGTAACGAACTTAACTTCTGTGCCTCAGTTTCCTCAGCTGCAAGCTGGGTGTGAAAGATCAAAGGAGCGTCGGCCCCGCAGCATGGGGTCGTGGTCGCTCCACGCAGGGTCTGTTTTAGGCCCCATGTCGACCCCTGCAGCAGGCAGCATCATCCCATTCATTCCACAGCGGAGGAAAATAAGCTCCAGCACCGTCCGCCCGGCCCAGAGAAGCCCGTGCCAACTCCTCACCCCACAATGGGCTCCCAGCTTCCGCCACTCAGGCAGCGTCCCTCCCTTCTGCCGCCCTTTGATGACTGTTTGCTTAAAACATTTCTTTAAAAGGTCTTATTTGAAAACAAAACTACAGACGCAGTTTTGAAGGATAAAACATTCTACCCACCCAAGCATAGATGGAAAACGGACATCCCTTCCCTGGAAGGTAATCTCATAAAGTGTCAAAGCCGGGCCCAGGCAGCCCCACTGTCTGCGCAAGGCGGGAAGCCCGGCCCCTGGGGCAGGCTGGGAAAGGGAGGCGCTGAGGGCTGCTGGGAGAAAGGCCCGGGCCACCTCCTAGGTCTGAGCGCCACCCTGACGACGGGCGCCCCCTCCCCCGCGGGGTGCTTTGCACTTGGCGCTGCGGATGTGCCCAGGGCCACGTTCTCCAGCTACACAGCCACACTGAGAGGGTAACACCGCAAGGGGATTCCCAAGGCCTGCCCCCCACGCTAGAACCAAGAACAGCCCATGCTTCCAGAGCGCCCTGAGCATTTTACAGGTGTCCCCCCATTGTTTACCTGTCGGCATCAAACCCATTTAACAGATGGGGAAGCCAAGGCCCAGTTACCATCACTTCCCCACAATCCCATGGCAGAGAAGGGCTCACACTCACCTGCCTGGACCTGGCCTGCTGGACAGACCTGGGAGCGAGTTCCTAGGAGTATTGCGCTACTCTTGTCTCACTGCTGAGACAAAATACCCACCACCCAAAGTTAAAGGGGAAAGGTTTATTTAGCTCAGTTTGTAGAGGTTTCAATCCATAGTCAGCTGGCTCCACCGCAAAAGAGAAGCTGTGCATGGCGGGCAGAAGGTAGCAAAGCAAGCGAGAGAGAAGATGGACTTTCTGTCCCTTATATTGTATCCAGGCTACAGGGATTAGGGCAGTGCCAAGTCCATCAGGGGACTGAGTTAACAATCTCTCACGCTTAATCCTAGCACTGCACCGTGAATCAACCACACACTGGATCCAGCCACTCTGAAAAAGCCCCACCTATGACTGCATGAGGCTTTGGGGGGACATCCAACAAACACCCTGGATTCAGTTTCTTCCTTTGCCAAATAAAGCAGCAGGTAGCCAGGTGTTCTCTGAGGGTCTTCTTGGCTCTAGGCTCTACTGTGTGGGTAAAGGGACCTGGAAGATACGGGCTGTGGTGGGAGCTCGGGGCCAGCGGGGATGGAGTCAGAACACCACCAGCTGGGCTTCTGGGTTCCGGGCCTGGCTCCCTCCCCCTGGATCTTTGAGCTCCCCTCCTCCCTCGGGTCTCACTTGCCAAAAGGACGCCCTTCCTTCCTGCGGATGGAGTCAGAGCTCTGCAACCAGGGCGCAGGGTAACAGGAGCTAATTATTCCATCAGATCAAGTCATCAGTGGGTCGATTTTTGATGAATTCCCCTGGCTCAGACTCATGCTGGCCTCATGCCAGCCTTTCTCCGGATGCCCAAGGAATCAATTAAAAATGACACCAGGGATTCTGCATTCTTTGTTCCCTTCTTGGTAAAACATTCCAAGTGGCTGTGGTGAGAGTCTGTGATGAATCGTGTAGTACTGCTGATTAGCACCGGGCCCACACCACGGACGCTGCCTGTCCCCCTGGCTCTCTGAAGGTCCATCCAATGCCTCCCCTTTGTCCTGTGTGTTCTCACAGGACTTGGAGAGGGGCCCCAGCCCAGCAGGATGTCTCCAGACACACCTGATGTCCCAGCCATGCAGAGACAGTGCTCTGCTTTCGGATCCACCTGCCGATCGACAGGGAGAGGGTCTCGGGGTGATCACCGGCCTCCAGTCCTGCCCACCTCAACGGGTGGGAAGTGGCTGGGAGCTCACCCGCTGCCCGGAGAGTCTCAGATGGGCTGTTTCCGCCGAGGATCCCAAAATCTGACAAAAGGCACAGAGAGGTTGGGATGAGGCAGCTGAGGGTGCGGGGGAGGAAGTGGGCAGAGCACAGCCAGGCACGGGTGATGGGGACACTCCTGAGAGGGGAAGGAGGAGCCACAGGGTGGGCAGCGATGCCTGGGAGCCAGGGCCCCACAGCCGACCCAAGACCCCTCAGGTGTTCCAGGGTGCTTGTCCACCAAGCTCTATCTTCTCCCAGATAGTACTAAGAGCCTTGAGTGTGTGAGGCAGGATAATCCTGTCTACGTGGTGGTAACAGCCTCCCTCTCGTGAAGCAGCCAGAAGGATCCTGTTCCAACGAAAGCAAGAGCCCGTCTTCCTCTACTGAAGGCCTTCAACAACCTCCAAACACTCCAAAGGACCACTGAGATCCCATGCAATCTGCCTTGTCACCTCTCCGACCTTTCTCCTTTCTCTTCTCTCACCTGGCTCTAGGCATGTGGACTCTGCATTACCCTGTGGACATGCTCGGTGGGCCCCACCCCAGGACCTTTGCACTTGCTGTTCTCTCTGCCTGGAGCCTTCATACAGATACAGATACAGTATCTTCGTGGCCCCTTCCTTACCTCCTTCTAATCTCTGCTCAGATTCTACCTTTGCACATTGAAACTAAAGCCTCTGCCCTCTTTGGTAGCGTTTACCACCTCCAGCAACTGGCTGTTTTACTTATTTGTGTCGTCTCTTTACCAGAACATCACCTCCCTAAAGGCATAGATAGGGGCTGGGGATTTATTTAGTTCAGTGGTTCCAATGCCTGCCTCGCAAGCGCAAGGGCCAGAGTTTGATCCACAGTACTGGGAAATAAATAAATAAAGGCAGATATTTTTTAGCTTTGTTCATTTTTGTATCCCCATCATTTAAACCAGTACATGAGACATAGCAGGCACTCAAAATATTTATAGATGTGACAAAGAATTTTCTCCCTCCCTGCTCCTGGTAAAGCCCCTCATTAGACTTAAAGGCTTCCCCCTTGCATCGCTAGACTGTGGGGTGGGCCACGTTACCCAGGTAGAGCCAATCAGCACACCCCATTTCTGTAGCTCCAGTGATTGGCCCAGACACAGACACGTGATCCAGGTCTGGCCAATGAGAGGGTGCCCCAGAGACTGTCGAAAGGTTACTGTGGGTCCTGGGAGTGGGTGAATTTCATGCTGGTGGCAAGTGCCAACTGAATACCCAAGAGCGGATGCTGGTGTTGCAGGACTGAGCCACTGTGCATGCTGAAGGCAGAGTTAGGAGGGCTGGAGAAGCTGGGCACTTCCAAGGTGCCCTCTCTGGCAGGACGCTGGGCACTAACCACAACTTCCGATCCCGATCCCAGCACATAGTCCGCCACAGCCCAGCCAGGGATTGGCATCACACATTTTCTATGCACTGCTTGTGCCTTTGCTAGAGGGTACCATCTGCTTCCTGCGGGGCCCC